TGAAGCTGACCTGCAGCCAGTTGTTGAGGTGGAGGCACCAGGAGGCCGAGGTCTTGCCCAGCTGGTCGAATTTACCCAAGCTGCGATACGCCACCCCCACGCCGAAAGCTTTGCTGTCCCGGTCGTACCGCACCTCCCAGTAGTGGTCGTCACCGTCGATTAACGTGTCACCTGCGGGCACGGGGCACAGTTCTGCCTGGTGCACCCACGGGGAGCCCTGTCCCATCCCCAGCCCCACCAGGTCCCTCTGGGTGCCCCCATGCCCACCTACATCCCACCCCCCCCACACCCCCCCCGTGCCCTCAGGGCCCCCTCCCACACCCCCGGGTGCCTGCAGGGTCCCCGCCAGCACCCACTGGGTGCCCCCCCGGCTCTCACCCAGAACCGTGTAGGACTCAGCGGTGAAGCGATCTCTGCCCCCACGCCCCGAGGGCATCCTCTTGGGTGACTGCACCACCCTAGGACAGACGGACGCCGGCAAGGAGGGCTGGGTTGGCGTTACCCGGGGGCGGGGGGGGGGGGGGCAATGCTGGGGTGACAAGGTGGTGTTTGGGGGGGGGGGGGGGGTGGGGGGGATGGTGACATTACCTGGCGGGCGAGTTGGCGGGCGATGCCGTCCTGCCCTTGCCGTCCTTCTCGCGCGCCTTGACGTCCTGCACCTTGCCACCCGTGGCATCCCACTCCACGCTGAGATCCTCCACCCGCAAGTTCTGGTGGCACGTGCTGGCGTCCAGCCGAAACATGAACGCTGGGGACAGCCACCATCAGCGCGTGTGGGTGTGGGTGTGGTGTCCCCTCACCCCCTGCTCGCCTGGCACCAAGGGGTCGCAGGACCCCGGCACGCGTGGGAAGGGGCAGCGTGGGGTGGCACAGGGGGCGATGGGTGCTCTGCCACCCCCTCTGGTACCCACCTCTCGTTTCTAAAGTGACCGGCTCGGAGAACTCGCCTGCCACAGCCTTGTTACATGCCCGTACCCGAAAATTCATGTACTTCATGTCAAACTTGAGCCCTGCGGGCACAACAGGGTCACAAAGCGGGGCATGGCGGGGGTACCGTGACCCCCGTGTCCCCTACAAAGCCTGGCACTGCCACCCAGCCCCCTGCCACCCGCAGTGCCTGCTCCTAGGATGTTTTTTAGGGGCCAGTTTTGCCCCCGTGCCCTCACCGGAGAGGGTGTACTCGGTGCCCTTGATGCCCTCGACCACCATCCAGGGCTGGTCCTCCTTGGCGCGGGGCGGCCCCTCGAAGTTGGTCTTGCGGTACTCCAGCACGTAGTGGTCGATCTTGCTGTTGTCGTCGGGCATCCTCCAGGCCAGCGTCACACAGTTATCGGCCACCAGTGACTCCGCCAGGTCGATCTCGGGGGTGCTGGGCACTGCCCGCAGGAGCAGCCGTGCCAGTGTCCCCCCCACCCCCCCCCCTCCCCTCCTCCACCGCAGCCCTGCTGCCAGCCGGGGTGTCCCCAGCACCCCCAGGGCACCCAAAGGTCCCTTGGGCTCAGCACCTCAGAGACCCTGGGCATGGCACCGACGGGACCCATGGCCACAGCACCCTGGGGACCCTACACGTGGCATCCCAGAGACCCCCAAGCGTGGCACTCGCTGCCCTCCTGGGCACAGCACCCCACCCCCCACCCCAATCCTTCCATCCCTGGCACCTTCTCGCCCCTCTGGAGGGGGCACCACAAAGTGCCCCAGGCCTGGCACCCCCCACAGCCCCTCACCCCGTCCCGTGGCACCCAGCAGACCCCTTAAACCCTGGACCCCCATCCTTGTGCCAGGCTGGTACAAACCCTCCGTGCCCCCGCCACTGCCCTTCCCTTGCACCAGGAGAAACCCATGTCCCTGTCCCCTTGTGTCCCCGTGTCCCTGTCACCCAGGGGCAATACCTGGCAGGAAGGCGAGGGCCTGGAGCAAGCGGCGTTCCTGGGTGAAATCCACCATCAAGTGGCTCATGTTGTCGCTCACCTTGGCCTTGAGCGAGAGGCGGAAGGCGGGTGCCATCGTCACACTGCACAGGGGGAGGGGGGGACACGGGGACGAGGGTCAGCGGGGCCGGGAGCCAGACACCCACCCAGCCCTGACTGCTCCCCCCCTGCCCTGCGTGGCCGTGGGGAGGGCGGGTAGAGCCACCCCAGCACCCACGGGGCCACCCGCCGCGTGGCCCTGGCCGGGAAGGTGGTGGTGGCGAGGGGGGGGGTGGTTAGTGGGACTGGGGAGCACGGGGGTGCCGTACCTATCCTTGATCTGTTTGGCAGCCTTGTGAGCGCAGAGGAAAAGAGGAGGAAAAAAAAAAAAAAAAAAAAAAGCAGATGAGACAGCAGTGCCAGGAGCCAGCATGGTACAGCGTGCCCGGACGCCTGCTCCGGTGCCAGTCTGACAGAGAGTACCCCGCTGCGGTACCCCAGAAGCTCAGCATCCCTGCTGTGGTACCCCACGGCATCCCCACATCCCCGCTGCGGTACCCCAGAAGCTCAGCATCCTCACTGCGGTACCCCAGCAGCTCAGCATCCCCGCTGCGGTACCCCACGGCTGCAGCACCCCCATGGCACAGCTCCCCAAACACCCGCCGGTGCCCCCCCCCGTGTCGCTGCCCTGGTGACCCTTTGTCTTGGGAGAAAGGGGGTACCAGGCAGGTTGGGGATCACCCCAGGGGGGGGGGGGGTCTCCGTGCTCCCCCCCAGCCCCACTGCAGGCACAGCCAGCCCAGCGTTGCCCCAGTGCCCAGCGCAGAAAGAGAGGAGGGTGCCCACCCGGGGTGAGCGCAGCCCCAGGGTGGCATCGACCGGATGGAAAGGGGGGGGTCAGGACACCCCCAGTGTCGGAGGGCAGTCAGACAGGGACATCTCCCCGCTCCGGTGGGGACTCACCTGGAGGAAGTCGTGGTCGTTGGCCGTCCCCAGGGCTTGGTTGGCCGCTTCCAGCAGCTCCTCCGAGCTCTCCAGGGCCTTGGCACATGCCGCTACCTGGGTCTGGAGTGGGGAGGGGAGATGGACAGCGGTGGGCGAGGGTGCCGGTGGGCGTGGGGGGGGACACCACCCCCCCCCCCCCCATGGTGGGTGCCCACCTGCAGCTCGTAGGTGCGGCTGGCGCGCTCCTGCTTGATCTTGGTCAGCATCTCGTCCTTCAGCTCGTCCAGCAGCGCGTACAGCGACTGGAACTCGCTCTCCAGGTCCTCCCGCACCCGCAGCGAGTTGTCCTGGTCACAACGCCCCGGGGGTGTCAGCGGGTGCTACCCCCACCGGGGAGCGGGACCCCCGCTGTGCTGGGGGGTCCCCGTGGGGAGGGTGAAGGCGGGTTGGTCCCCGCTACCTCCACATTCTGCATCATCTGCTTGAGGGAGTAGATGAAGTTCTGGATCTCCTCATTCTTCATGGCCAGGGTGGTGATGATCTTCCGCATAGCCTCCTGCCCGGCCCCCCCCCCCCGCCCCCCCGGCCCGTGGTCAGTGCCCCCCGGCCCCCCGCTCCCCTCGGGCCCCCCCTCGGCCCCCCGTCCGCGCTGGGCCCAGGCGTGCCAGGCGCCGCGGGCACCCGGCGGCTCTGCCGGCATGGCGGGAGCGGGATGACTTGGCAAGTGTGTGCGAGAGCAGAGGGAGGGCAGCTAGGGGCCGGGGGGGGGGGGGGGGGAGCCCTGCACCCCCCTGCACCCCTCCCTCCCGCACCCCTCCCTCCTCCAGCCCTCCCGCACCCCTCTACCCCTCCTGCACCCCACTCTCCTCCATTAGCTCCTTCCATCCCTCCTGCCACCCTCCATCCCTCCTGGCCCCCTCCTCCCCTCCCTCACCCCTCCGTCCCCCATCCCTCCTCCCCTCTCCCCCCTTTGCCACCCTTAACCCCTGCATCCCTCCTTCCTCCACGCCTTCACCCCCCCCAACCCCTCTTCTTCCAGTCCTCCTCCATCCCACTGTTCTTCCTTCCTCCATCCCCTCTTCCTCCCTCCCTCCTCCATCCCTCTTTTTCCATCCCTCCATCCCTCTTTTTCCATCCCTGCATCCCCTCTCCATCCCTCCATCCCTCCATCCCCTCTTCCTCCCTCCATCCCTCCTTCCTCCATCCCTCCCTCTTCCTCCTCCATCCCCTCTCCCTCCACCTCACCCCCCCCCGCCCTCGCCCCGGTCCCCGGTCCTGGCCCAATCCCACCTGGTCGCCCATACCGGGCCGGCCCCGCCGCCGCTCGGCCCCGCCGCCACCAACAAAGGGGGAGCGGTGCCCCCCGCCCCGCCCCGCCCCGCCCCTCCCGGCCGCGGGGCACCACGGGAAATGTAGTCCTTCCCGCCGGGGACAGCGCCGCCCCTTGGCATGCTGGGAGATGTAGTCGGGGGGGGGGGGGCGCGGGGTCTGAGGACCCACACACACCCCCCTAAGGATGGGCCCCGCTCCCCCCCGAGCACGGCGGAGCTTGAGCTCCCCCCCCCCACCCCCCCCCCCCCCCCCGGAACTTGCCCCTCCCCCTGGAGAGGGAGACCCACTGACACCATCCCAAACCAGCGCCGCCCACCCAAGGGGGGGCCATGAGCCCCCCAGATCTGGGCATCCCCCCCACACACCCCCCAAGGCAGGGGCACCTCTGGACCCCCAGGGATAGGGGACAGGAGCCGCAGGGGTGCTGGGGTGGGGGGCACTGCCATGCTGGGGGGTGGGTTTCTCCCAGTAAGGGACCCCCCCCCCCCCCTCCCCTTCCAGCTCTCCCTGCGAGGCCACACTGGGCTCCCAGCCCGTTCTGGGGTCAGGTCGTGTCCCTCTCCGGGGGGGTCCCAGCGAGGGTCCCCGGGTGGCACGTCCAAGCTGGAGCTGACCCCAGGACTCCTCAACCCAGGCTGGGGACCCAAGGAGGTGCCATCCCCTGCTCTTGCCCCGGAGGGTGTCCCCATCCCTGTCCCCATCCCCATCCCTGTCCCCATCCCTGTCCCCATCCCCATCCCCATCCCCCCTCCCCTGGGCTGCGCAGCACAGTGGCAGGAAGCTGTGGTGTCACAGCGAGCCAGCCTGGGTGACAAGGGGCGGAGAGACTTGGGGGACAGCAGCGCTTTGGGGACAAGGACAGCTTGGGGACAAGGACCCCTCGGGGACAGGGACCCCTTGGGGACGTGTCTCCTCAGAGCAGGGTGGCTAGGCTGGCACTGGCGTGGGGATGTGGGGGCTCAGGGTCCTCATCCCCCTCCTTGGTGGTGAGTGGGGGGACAGGGCTGGCTGGAGGGGGGACAGAGGGGACAGTGCCTGAGCCCCTGTGGTGTGGCTGTGGGGTTGGGGACAGGCTGTTTTGGGGGTAACGGGGGGGACACAGGGCTCAGGCTGGCTCCTGCGTGATGGCCGGGGCAGGGGTGTTGCTGGGGTCATCTGTCCTGAGGGGGGGGACCAGAGAGGGGTTGGGGACACAGAGGGAGGGACAGACATGGGGACAGGATGGAGGTGGGTGACTGAACAGAGGTGGGTGCCACGGCTGGGGGAGGGGCGCACAGGACAGAGGCAGTGGGGACAGATGGAGGGACAAGGGGGAGGGGACAGGATGGGGTCAGATACCATGCGTGGGGACAGGATGGGGACAGAGGGATGTCCAGAGGGGCGCGTGGCCGGAGGCAGCGGTGAGGCAGGACATGCAGACAGCAAGCCTGGCTCCCGGTCCCCGGGGTGCCCCAGCACCCTCAGCCCCATGGGTGGCTCTGGGGACCGCTGGGGTGGGGGGTGACAGCTCCCTCCCACCACCCCCCCCTAGTGACCTGGGTGCTGTTCCCGGCAGCGGGTGCTCTGCAGGTGAGCCAGGACCCAGATGAGTTGTGGGTGGCAGCGGGGGACAGGGTGACCCTGGGGTGCCGCGTGCTGGAGGCTGACCCCTGGGACCTGCTCTGGCTGGAGTGGGTGAAGGACGTGGGGCGCCGGGTGCTGTGTGCCGCCCGCCTGCGCCCCACCACCCCCACCCCCTCGGCCCCTTGCACCCCCCGCCTCCACCTGGCCTGGCACCCCCCCCGTGCCACCCTCAGCCTCCTCCAGGCGCGGGGGGACGACGTCGGGCGCTACCTCTGCCGGGTGACCCTCGAGATCCCCCGCTATGCCACGGCCACCGGCAACGGCACCCGGCTCAGCGTCGACACAGGTACCCGGGGGGGGGGTGTGTGTGCGGGCCTTGGGGGTGTCCCTGGGACATGGTGTCATGGTTGGGGTCAATGGGGTCCCTGGGAGGTGGCATCACCCAGGGGGTTGATGGGGTCCATGGATGGAGGTGTCTGGTGGGTTTGGGGTGGCCGCAGCGCAAGAGGGCTGGGGACAGGGCTGGGGACAGGGCTGGGGACACAGTTAGGGACAGGGACACCCCTGACTGCGTTTGCCTCACCAGCAGTGGCTGACGGAGGACATCAGGCAGGTAAGCGTGTCCCCGCTGTCCCCTCCATCCCGGCGCCCACGTGCCCGGGTGCCAGCGGTGCCGAGGCGGTGGCCCCCAGCTGGGTGTGCTTGCAGGGCTGGTGTGGGGGCTGGCGGGGGGTCTGGGGGGCACAGCCCTTCTCCTTGGGCTGGCCTTCCTCGGCCACCAGCGCTGGTGCAGGAACTCAGGTAACCCCATCCCCAAATACCCTGTCCCAAATACCCCATCCCCAAATACCCCATCCCTAATACCCCCTCCCAAATACCCCGTCCCCAAATACCCCATCCCTAATACCCCCTCCCAAATACCCCATCCCCCAAAACCCCATCCGCAAATACCCCATCCCCAAAAACCCCATCCTTAATACCCCCTCCCAAATACCCCATCCCCAAATACCCCATTCCCAATACCCCTTCCCCACCTGCCCCTTTTCCCCCTGCCCAAATACCCCCAAGCCCCTCTCCTCCCCACCCAAACACCCCCGTGCCCCCTTGCCCCACGTACCCCTGTGCCCCAACGCCCCCCTGCCCGTACCCCCCCCCCCCCCCGCCTGCTCATCAGGGCTCACGGTTGGGGGCACCCAGTGGGTCCCCCCCGGGGGTCCCCTGGCTCTGCCAGCCACCATGCCTTGGGGGGCCAGGCTGGCCATGCCCAGCCCTGCACCCCCCCCCCAACACCCACTGCCCCCCCAGACACAGCCATCTACGTGAACGTGCTGCCCCCCTCGGCGCAGGCCCCCAAAGAGGTGCTGCCACCCCCCCCGGAGATGGAGAACAGCTGGTACCAGGAGGGGCTGTACCATGCACGGGACCTCCCCAGCACCCCTCAGCCCTGAGAGGGGGGAGCACCCCCCCACACGCACCCCCCTCCCAGCTCTGCCTTTCTGCAGGAACACCCCCCCCCCCCCAAAAAAAAAAAAAAGCTGTTTTGCAGCATCCTCCCACCTCGCTCACTGTCTTCTGTGCAGCGCCCGCAGCACCCACCCCATGGCACCCAGTGCCCCCCCCCAGCACACCCAGCCCAGCCCTGCTGAGCGTGGGCAGCTCCTGCCTGGTGTGCTGAGGCGGGGGGGGGTGGGGGCAGTGCCTGGAGGCAGCAGGATCTGGGCCCCCCCCCCCCCATTTCAGGGAAGCCACGCTGCTGCCCTGTGGCCTTCCGCACCAGCACCTGGCACGCGAGGGCTGCGCCGACCGTGTAGGAAGCACCCGCTCCCCCCCGGCAGCATGGACCCCCCACGGGGGGGCCAACACCATCAGCCCCCCCCCCCCCCATGCAGGCGAGCTTGTGTGCGGTTGACGGTGGGTGACCCCAAGCTGTGTCACCCCCATGTTTTTTCCCCAAGGCCAAGTACTACAGCGATGGGGGGGGATGGTGTGGGGGGATACATCCAGACCCCCCCCCCCCCCCGCCTTGCCCTGGGCTCCTGGGGGGGGTGTGAGCGGCCGCAAGGGCAGGAGCCCCACCAGGATGGGACCGGTGGCAGGGCCACCATGCCCAGAGGCACCATAGAGTTGAGCCCCAAGAGGGACCGGAGCGTCGCCATGCCTACACGCCGCAGAGCACACAGCGGGCTTGGGGCTGCGCGTCGGCTTTTAATGAGGGGACCGGGGCAGGGTGGGGGCACGGCTGGGGGGTCCTCAGCGGCGCTGGGCTCAGAGGGGCTGCGCAGCCACGGGGTAGAGCAGGGAGAGGTGGCGGGCGCCCCGGACGGGCAGCGCCCGCGCCGTGTAGTGCCGCACGGCTTCGGGCACCGAGGGGAAGGCGGCCCCGGCGCGGCCGAGCACGAAGTGCTGCTCCCGCGTCCGCGTGAGCTTCACGTGCACGAAGCCATGGCTGCTCCTGCAGGCGGGGAGGGGGAAACTGAGGCAGGCGGCGGCCGGGCCGGCCCACCCTTGCGGGTGCGCGCCTCGAGGCGGGGCGGGCCGCGCAAAGGCGCGCGCCAGCACACGGACGCAAGCGCCGTGCCCACTTCTCAACCCCTCTGCACGGGCACTCCTGGTGACGCGTGTGTCCCCCCCCCCCCCACCACCCCATCTCCGTGTCCCCCCCCCCCCCCCCGCCACCACCACTCACCGGAGCGAGAGCGAGTAGTCGTCGGGGCTGGTCTCGCAGTCCCGCACCAGGAAGCTGCCCTCGCGGCACAGCGCCAGCAGCGTCTCGGCGCCCGCCCGCCCGATGGGACCGTGGTACCACCTGCGCGGCGGCGGGCGTCACCCCGGCACCCGGCGAGTGGCACCCCGCCACGCAGCACGGGGACCCCAGGGCACCGTGGGGCGCCCTCCGTGCCATGGGGGCAGCGTCCCCACTGCTTGGGGCCATCAGCAGCGTGAGGACCGGTTCACCCCACAGGGACCCGTCTGTGCCATGGGGCACCTTCTACATCATGGAGACCAACTATGGCACGGGGCACCCACCCATGCCAAAGGGACCATCCATGCCTTGAGGACCCTCTACGCCATGGGGACTCATGCATGTGATTGGGCACCCTCCACCCCATGGGCACCCATCCATGCCATGGGTCACCCAACACCCTGTGGGGACCCATCCATGCCATGGGGTCACTCAACACCCTATGGGGACCCACCCATGCCATGGGGCATCCAACAACGTGAAAGGGACCACCAATGCCATGGGGCACCCAACTGTGTCGAAGGGACCGCCCAAGCCATGGGGCACCCAACACACCCCATGGGCACCCTTCCATGCCATGGGGCACCCAACACCCTATGGGGACCCACCCATGCCATTGGGCACCCAACCTTGTCAAAAGGACCACCCAAGCCATGGGGCACCCAACACACCCCATGGGCACCCTTCCATGCCATGGGGCACCCAACAACCTATGAGGACCTATCCATGCCATGGGGCACCAAACATTGTCAAAGGGACCACCCAAGCCATGGGGCACCCAACACACCCCATGGGCACCCTTCCATGCCACAGGGCTCCCAACACCCTATGGGGACCCACCCATGCCATGGGGCACCCAACACACCCCATGGGCACCCTTCCATACCATGGGGCACCCAATTGTGTCAAAGGGACCATCCATGCCATGGGGCACCCAACACCATGAGGACCCATCCGTGGGGGGACCCTCCACCCCAGAGGGCTGCCTCCATGCCACGATGTCTGACCGGGATGTTGATGCCACCCCACGGAGGAGGGACCCCCCCAGACTCACGCCTGCTTCTCCAGGGGCAGCGAGGTGTCCACGTGCCTGGGGCTGGGGGGGCAGCCGGGCCTGGCACCTGTGGGGGGCCGGGGGGGCCGCGGCAGCTGCCGGGACAGGCTGGGGGAGCGCTCGGGGCTCTCAAACTGCACTGTGGGGACAAAGCAGGAGGGTGTCACCCCCCCACGGGGTCCCAGCACCCCTGCCTGCTGCTGGGGGGCACCTCTCCGTGCCGAACCACAAAGGAACATCCCAGATGTCCCCGCCACGGCTCTGCCTTGTCGTGGGGTCTCGTTGCCCCCAAGGGGTGGCACCCATGGGTGCTGGGGGATGCTGGGGGGCAGGAGTGGTACCCATGGGAGCTGAGGGACACGGGGCTGGGGGACCCCGGGGTGGCACCCAGCACCCTGGGGATGCTGTCACCTGCGAACGCCCGCGAGATGTGATCCTTCTTCCACTCCCAGGGCTGGTCGTACTCGTCGGCCGGGCGCTCGTCGTCGCGGGGCAGGCGGCTCTCCCGGGCGGTGGGCACCCCGGGACCCTCCCCCGCCGTCTCCCACTCCTCGGAGGGGGTGTCGTAGAGTTGGGGTCCCCGCCGTGGCCTCGCCCGCCGGCCCTCGCCCTGCCGGGGGCACCCTGGGGACAGAGGGGGCTGGGAGAGGTGATGGGGCCGGGATGGGTGGGAGGCACCTTGGCCGTGGGACCCCCGTGGGGCTGAGTGCTGGGGGGGTGGGGGGGTGGGCCCAGGGTGTCACCCACCTGCGGCCTCACCAGGCTCCTCGCAGCCACCCTCGGGCGCTGGGTCCTGCTCCCCCTCGAAGGGCTCTGAGTACTCGCTCTCTCCGGGGCCCTGTGGGTGGGTGCCCTGGGTGGGATGGGACCCCCCGATGCCCCCCCCCCCCCCCCCCCCCCCCCCCCGCCATCCCCAGTCCCTGAGTCCCCTCCCTGGGGCCCTGCAGGCTCCCCCAGGTCCCTGATATGGGTGCCCCCAGCCCTTTCCCCACTCCCCCCTACCCGGTCCCTTTGTCCCCCAACCCCTTTCCCCTTCCCCCTCCCCCCGTGACTCCGCCACCCCCAGTTCTCCCCCCAGTTCCCAGTCCCAGTGGCCCCAGATCCCCTCTGGGCACCCCACTGACCCCCCCCCCCCCCCCCATCCCCGACCCCTTGGCTCTCCCCAGTTCCCCATCACCGCTCCCCTGACGTACCCCACATCCTTCTCCTCAGCCCCTCTTGGTCCCTCCCGCCCCCCTGTCCGTCCCCCCCCCCCCCATCCCCTCTGTACCCCCCTCGGCCCCCCCACTCCTTTCTCCCCAGCCCCCCCGCTCTCTCCCGGTTGCCCACTCACACCTCTCTGGTGTCCCCGTCCCTCCCCCCCCCCCCCCCCCCGCGACGTTTTCCTCGGGTCCTGCCCCCCCGTGCCCCCCAGTTCCCCTTCCCAGCCCCACCCTTCAACCCCACTGAACCCCCCCGGTCCCTTCGCCTCCCCCCCCGGTACCCGCGCTTCCCTCCGGGTCCTGCCCCGCTGTCCTGTGTGCCCCCCCCCCCGCGTTGTCCCCTCGGTGCCCCCCGCTCCTACCTGCTCCAGCCGGCGGGGGCCGCCCCCCGGCCCCGCGCCCCCCACCCGCACCAGCCGGTGCCGAGGGGAGGCAGCGGGGCCGCGGAGGGCAGCCCCGGGGGGAGCGGCGGCGGCGGGGGGCGGGGGGGGGGGGGGGCCCGCTCCCGGTGCCGGTGGGGCGGCGCTCGCCGCCGCTGTAGTCTGGTTGGGGCGGGCGGGGGGGGGAGCGCCGGGCCCCCCGGCCCAGGTACTCCCGGAGCCACTTGGCCATGGCGGGGCCGCCCGGCACCGGGACCGCGGGCGCGCCGGGACCCCCCCGCCGCCGCCGCCGCCGCCGGGAGCCGCTTTGTGTCGCCGCCGAGCGCGGCGCGGACCGGAGCCCCCGGCCCCCCCCCCCCCCCTCCCCCCGAGCCCGCCTCGCCGCGGGGGGGGGGGGGGGGCACCGGCACGGTGTGTATTGTGGGGGGGCGAAACACACCGGGGGGAGATGGGGGGGGGGGGGAGCATCGGGACCCCGCGGGGGACAATAAGGGGGTCGCGGCGTGCCCCCCCCCCGGGGAGCATCGGGAGGGGAAGGCTGACCCCCGCACCTGAGGTGACGGGGGTCACCGAGACCCCCAAGTGACACCGGGATGACACACCCCCCCCCCCCCCCCGTGTGACAGCGAGAGAAGTGGGGGGACCCTGGGAGCCCCTGACACCCACAGACAGCACAGCGGCTATAGGGGACCCCCCCGGCCCCTCTGGGCAGCCCCTTGGGGGGGGTCGGGGCACAGGGAAAAGGCTGGGGGGGGGGGGGGGAAGCCAAGCCCAGGGGCTTTGGGATCTGGGAGGAACATGGAGCCCCCCCTCCAGCTGCAGGGTCACCCCCAACCCCCTAGGGAGCTCGCCTCGGGGAGAAGGGGGTCCCTGCAGCCCCTCTGTCCTGGGGTGTGGGGGGAGCCTCAAGGACCACACTGTGGGGGGGGGGGGTAAGGAGGGCTGGGGCCCCCCCCCCGCCATGCCCTGACTTGGCTCCTTGTATTGTCTCTTCCCAGAACAAAGGTCCCACTCCGGGGATCCTGGCCTGGTGCTGGGGGTGCAAGGAGCTGGGGGGGGGCACGTGTGTGGGATCAGGACAGGGCTGTGGGGGGACACAGTGTGGCCAGGGGCCCCCCAGCTTTGCCAGCCCCCACCCAACACAAACCCCAGGGCTGAACCAGATATCCAGCATTAATATTTGAAGAGGCTAATTACAACGCGCGTGAGAGGAATACTAATTTGGGGGGGGGGGAGCTGCCAATTCTCCCCAGCTCTCAGAAACACCCCACAAGCCCCTGGCCCCGCAGCCTATGTCGTTTGTGAGGCTCCAAGAGTGGGTTAATTAGCGAGAAGCTGCTCGGCAATTAGAGGTGGGTGCTCGATAAAGGAGAAGTTGATGGGTCAGTCCTTCTGATGGGTGCATGGATCCATAGCGTCGGGGTGGGGGGGGGGTCCCTGGGATTGTTCCTGCCAGGCCCGCGGGGGCAGGACCCCCCGCCCCGGTACAAATTACTGCTCTGGGAAGATGAAGAAGCAACTGGCTCTGACACATCCAATTTATTACCGGGTCACGGGACGGCGGGGAAGGGTTTGTCACCAAGCTGCTGGGGACGGCGGGGGACTTGGGCAGGGGGAGGAGGAGGCTGGTGGCAGCATCCAGGACCCCCCTGGTCCGTGCTGCAGAACGTGTCACCCCTAACAGCAAAACAACGGGGAATGGGGACTCACCCCACAAAGGCGGAGTTGGACCCGTGCAGAGGGGTCAGGAGACACCCAGGGCCAGAGAAGTGGTGGTGGTGGGTCCTCCCAAGGGAGAAGAGGGGTGCTGAGCTCCTGCCTTCCCCCCCCACCTCCCTGCAGGGACGCAGGGCAGGAGGGAAGGAAGGCCCTGAGGTCATTTTAGTGCTGCGGGAAGAGGGTGAGCGTGTCACAAAACCGGGGCTCAGGCACGATCAGCACGGGGGCGAGGGCAGCAAGCACCACCAGAACGGAGAAACTCCACAGTCCCGGCTGGCCCCGGCGCTGCCGAACACGTTAACGGGCGCAGGGCTGGGCCACACCGCGCTCCCAGGGCTGGCTGGAAGCTGGGTTTGGGCAGAGCCAGCCTGGGCCAGCCTCGGGGCTCTCCACCAGCCGCAACGCAGCAGCGATTCCCTCCTACGGGGAAGCAGTCTTCTCGACCGGCTCACCCGGGTTTCATCTGCCGGCGGCGGTCGCCGGCGAGGGCGGCTGGGGCCTCGTCCCTCTTGGAGGATGGAGACGCACCCCGGGGCGGGCAGGGGAAGACGTTGGGACTCCAGATGGCCTGGAAACGCTGCCGGCTGCAGGCCGGCTCTGCGCGGGGCCCTGGAGAGCAGCTGCTGAGAGGGGGCGGGGGGGGGGGCACAGCCTGCCGTCCCCGCTCTGGGCTGGCTCGGGTCGCTCATCAGTCACTCGGTCGCTCATCAGTCACTCGCGCTGTCCTCGCTGTCCGAATACGCCCCCAACAAGCCGAGGGAAGACGTGGTGGTGCCCGTTGCTGTGGGAGACGAGCCTGGAAGCCGAGCAAGAGAGCGGACACCATCACAGGTACGGCCCTCCCCGTCGCTGACAAACCCCACCAGCTCGGCGCGAACCAGCCGCGCGGAAACACAGGCCTGCCTCGCCGCTGCGGCTGCTCGCAGCTGGAGACGAGGCAGCCGGGGCCAGAGTCCGAGCCAGTGCCTCGTGTGTGTCCCCCCCCCTCCCCAAGCCTGAATCTCGATGAGGACAGCAAGGTTAAATCGGGTGGACAAGGAGACCCCCACGCCCCCTCGGCTGGAGCCTCCTGCTTCCGCCTTGCGGCAAGAGGAAGAAGCAGCAAGGTTGGCCCAAGGTCTGCAAAACCCCCTTCTCCCTCCGCAACCCCCTGGGAGATTCCAGCCGCTGGAAAGGAAGAGAGGAGCCGGCTCTCGGCTCCGACCACGTGAGCTGCCAGCTGCAAGCGCGAGGCAGCGTCACGGGCAGAGCGCCCCGAGTCCTTGAAAGACGGGCAGCTCCTCCAGCATCATTTTGGCTGAACAGACCCTGCCAGCAGCCAGGAGCAGGTGGCGGAGGAAGGCATATCAAAAATGGGGCAACGACGAGAGCTGTCCTTCCCCAGGGATCCCCTGAGGGCGGAGGGACTCAATAAACCAAAGGGCTTAGGACCAATCAGCCCAGAATCTATGAATTTATCAGCTTCTTCCCCAAATCCATGGGCCCCCTGGCTTCCTGCGGCAGTGAAGGATGAGTTGCTGGAAAGCCTTTCTGCTTCTTTTCAGCACTTCTTTAAAGCTTCCAAACTCCAACAGTTTGGCAGGTTTTCTCATCAGGCCCCAAACCAAAGCAATTTTCTTGTTTTTGCATTCCTATCTCGCTGTTGTGATGGTTCCCAGCATCCTATCTGTGCACCCAGACGCTGTTTTGCAGCTTCTGGCCCTGACAGTCTGTCTCCAAGGCCTTGGCTTACCACCGAGGGCCAGGAAGGAACCTCTCCTCCATCCGGACATCTGGAAACAGGGACAACCCCCTGCTCTGACACCATCATGGCTCCATCTGTCCCACAACAAGGACTCCACCTGAGGGTATCCAGGCTCTGAAGACAGAGCTAAACACCACCTGGGTGCTGCCAGATCCCTCCCCGATGGTCCCGCTCAGGCCATCCCATCCCCACCTGGGCAGTTACCGGTGTTGGCCGCGGTGCCTTGGTTCTCTGTCCCATTAGCCAGGGCAGGACCCGGCTTCTGCTTCTTCACTGTGACCAGCCCAGCCAGCTGGGGCTTGGTGTTCAATTTGCCCACGCTCCGCTCCCAGCTCTCAGTCTTCAGCTTCTTACTCTGGGGCTGAGGGTCCTGCAGAGCAGAGCAAGGGTGTTAGGGTGCTCTGGCCTTGGAGGGGTGGTGGAGGAACGGGGGAGAAGGAGGAGAAGTAAAAACAGCAGCACAAAGAGCAAGAAACATGAGGATAGCTGCTCGCAGCAGCCAAGGGGGGGGTTTTCTCCCCCACAACAACTGTCACAACCTAGACAAACAACAGGGATACCGATCTAAATGGCTACAAAACAGCCCTTGGAGTCAAACGTCCCTCTGCCTATGAGAGTTAAATCCAGCCCTGCATGGCCATGGGCTGGCCTTGGGACGCTGAGGAGCCAGATGCATGCCACAGGGCTGTACAACCTCTGCCAGGCAGGACGGCGTGCCTGCAGGTGGTCCAGCCGCTGAATCAAACTCCCCCAGGCACCAGGATTAGTGCCGGGCCAGGGAACATCGCTCAGATTAACCCCAACCCGGCTTAGAGACACGGCAGTTTTGATTCATCCAACCGGACAGAGGTCCCTGCAGACACGGCTTGACATCGGAGAGCAGCAGTGCAGGGGCCTGTCTGTGGGGATAATCCCTCCCTTGCAAGCCGGGCACTGAAAGCTCTTTTGTTCTGCATGTCTCCAACACGGACAAAACAGAAGCAAAGGAGAGGCTGTCCCAGGCAGTGCTTTCATTGCTGTAATTTTCAGAGCGCTGAAATCATGCTTGAAATACGACCAAGGCATAGGCAAGGCTGTCCTTTTTGAGCTGAAAGGGAAGCCACGTCCTGAGCAAGAACAGGGGCAGCTCCCTCCCAGCCTTTGTCAGCAGATGCAGTCTAAAATCATCAACAGATCCCCATCTCCTTTCAGCCCAGCGCACAGGGACACGGGCTTTCTAAGCTGCTCATGCGTGACAGGCATTAGGGCTCCAGCGTCACACAGAGCAGGGATAAAACAGGCAACACGCAGCCCAGGACTGAGGATTTGCTCTGGGGGAAGAAGCGCGGTGGGTGGAAGGGCTTCTGCCCCCACTCACCTCCTGCAAGATGTCCGTGGGTTTAATTTTCGCCACCGGCTTCGTGTGCGATTTCGCAGGCTCTTCGTCAGAGTCGGAGTCTATCAGCAGCCGCCGGTTCTGGGCCTGCTCCAGCATAGCTCTGCAAGGAGAAAAGCCGCACGCGGAGGGTGAGAGCTGGCTCCCTTCCACCGCCACGCCGAGCAGTGCCGGCCGTGCGCCATGCCTGCGCCCTTTGCTGTAAGGGGAGCTGGAATTCAGCAGCAGTGCAATGGGATCCACCTTCTCAGGTGCTTTTTAAGAAGCCACGGTCAAGCAGTGCCCGAAGGTTGATAGCACTGAAATCTGCAGCCTCAGCCAGGTGCAGAAACTCTCTCTCCATGTGAGGACACTTCTTTGGAGGGGCAGGGGGGGAGTCAGGCCCCTGCAGCAGCCCAGATCTCCCCATCAGATGGGCCAGTGATACCAAAACCCCTCCACCTCTGCCATGCTTTGCCATGACAAACTGTCCCCAAACTCCTCACAGCCCGCTCAGGGTTACATCCCACCCACACAACTCTTGTGAACTCAAGCCCCTCAGGCAGGGCCTTCTCTTAAGCATTCTCGGGGTGCTAAGGAAAGGGTGAGAGGCAGCCCTGCCTGGTTTCACACACCCATGAATGCTTCCAGCCCACTCACTTCATCTCTTGCTCATCCTCCTCTTGCTCCTTGCGCTTCTGCTCCTCCTCATACTCCTTGTACTGCTTCAGCATGGCCTCAAAGTCCACATTTGCCTGGCGCTGGTTGAGCTCCTTCAGCTCCTGCAGGTTCTCCAGAACCTCCATCTCCAGCTTGGAGTCCTTGGTTCGGTTCTCCAGGACCTGGGTGACCAGAGATAAGCTGGGCTTATGTGAGGTAGCAGAGCCGGCCAGCAGTCTCCAACACTGCCTTCCCATCCAGTACAGGACAGGATCATCATCATCCTCATTTTTGGGTCTTAATAGGACTGGAAAAACTGGGGCAAGATGTGGCCTGTCGCAAGTTGGTCGCAGTGCAGGAGGAAACCTCCTGTGAGCAGAGAGTTGTCTCCTGCCTGTCCAGAGCACAGCCTCAGGAGCCTGAAGAACTAAGCCAATGGATATGAAGTCACCTGCTTCCCTGGGGAAAGCCAGCCAGAGCAGGAGAGGTTTGCCTTCTGCAGAGAAGGTCATGTTCTCATACCTTCATGGGATTGTTGAGCTCTTCTTCTTCCCTCTCCTTCTGCATTCTTTTCTCCTCCTCCTCCAAGAGCTTCTCAGCTTGGAAGTTGCGAGTGGCGCCATGCTCCATGGTGTAGTCCGTGTTCTCAGGATCTGTCTAAGGAAGAAACAAGCAGCAAAATCATTGTACTGGGGCAATTCTGCTCCAGCCATCCTGTGGCCACTTCCAGAGCCACATATGACTGTTTCCCAATTTCATTCACATCACAGGGTAGACAATCACCCACGGCCTTCTGTTCTGCTCCAACTCATGTGCTGCTGCAGCCCACCCACGGATGGGTGAGACACTTCAGAACTACAAACGGCCACAAGAAGGGAAGAGGCACCAAAAAGCACGCGCTCAGACTCACGTATTTGCTGGGACACCCCTTTGCCATGGGGTCAGCAATCGGTAACATCTACAGACTGCACAACCTCCCCAGAAAGCGAGAGTGCAGAAAATACAGAACATATTTCACCTTGAAAGTGATCTCTGCCAGGCAACGTGTGCACTTGATGTAGAAGCGGAAGATAGGAAGTCCCAGGTACACCTCATTCTGAACAGTCTCCTTACGGGCATTAAACTTCTTCCCTTTATAGATGTATTCACCACATGTCTTGCATCTAGAAAAGGAGAAAAATAAGAAAATAAGTCCATCACACATCAAAAAAAGGGAAAAAATGGACCAATAGAAGTCCAAGTGAGTTTCGGGCCGTGTCAGCGCAGGTTCTGAGCAACGGTTATTTGGAAATTCAGCCCCTACTCTTCAGACAACCCCAAAATCACCCACAGCACCTCTTCCCTCTCCCTCACCCCGTTTCTCCTGGTCTGGGTCACCTCTAACGGCTGCGGGCAGCAGCTCCCCTGCAGCTGGACGCGACACAATTCCTGCTCAGCCCCTCTTACCGCATGTTGAAGGGGGCCATGAGCCGCACCACATACTGTCGGTCCTTCGGGAGTTTGAGCTTCGGGATCTTAGCAGGATCGAAGTCCGGCGGGTAGTATTTCTACAGAGAGGGCAGAGCCGTGTGTGTGCTGGGTGCAGGCCCCCAGAGCGGTGTGAACCGTGGCAGGCAGGCTCCCCGCAGCCTCGGGGGCCAGCCCCAGCAAGAGCCAGCCCACCCACACTAACCAGGACGCTCTCAAGGGCCAAACCAGCCTGCCCACCGCTCCCCACCAGAGCCTGGCACTGGTGTGTGTGTCTGTGTCTCTCCTCGACCCCAGGACCCCAACCCTGTCTCTCTGTACGTCCTTGACTCCAGGCCCCCCTCAACCCTGTCTGTCTGTACAACCTTGGCCTCAGGCCCCCCAACCCTTGCATGATTTTAGGGCTTAACCCTCTTACCCCTGCCAACCCCCTCCAAACGTTGCCAGGAGCCCCCAGACTGGGGATTCCCGCCCCAGCCACCCCCCTCACACCCTGACAGTCCCCTCGGGGACCCCTCTCCGCCTCAAGCCCCCCCCCGCCGACCAGGGACTCCCCAGCACCCCCGGTCTGAGGACCAACCTCACCGATTAGAGAACCCTCCCCAGTACCATCCCGGCTTGGGGACCCCGGCAGACCCCTCCCCAGCCAGGAAATCCCCCCCCCCCCCCCCCAACTCACGTTCAACACCTTCCGCTCCGACATAGCTGCGACCCCCCCTCACCCACAGATGCGACCTAACAGCAGCCCCACAACACTGCGAGCCGCTTCCGGGAAACCGCCCCGTCCTCCCTCCGCCGTTCATTGGTGGGACGAGCCGCCGCTCGGCGGATTGCCGCCTGCTACTGGCTGTGCCTGCTGTCTGTCAGCGAGCTCCGCCCGCCGCCGCGCCACAGGCGGGAGTCCGCCGGTGCGCCGCGGCCCCGTGAGCGGTTCCGCCCCGGGAGGTCCCGCGTGTGGGAGGTCGCGGGGGGCTGTGCCTCGTCTGGAGCCGCGGGGACCCCCGGGCTGCGGGGGGCTGGAGCTCGGCTTCCACCGGGCAAGGCGAGGTGTGAGCCCCGGACAGGCCTTGCGCTCCCAACAGATGTTCATCGTGTGGGGAACGGGCTAAAAAAAAGTCGGTTTTGTGTATGAAATATCCCCCCAGCTGCCGTGATCGACCTTTGTTCTGTGAGGCATTTTCTGGTCAGTCTTTGAGGTTGGAAAAGTTCAATTAATCGTCCCTAATGCAGAGAGATTAGTGGTTTTGGTGGTTCAGTGCTCAGCTGTGCTTCCAAACGGAGGGAAACTCCTCTGCTTCTCCTTAATGATTTCCCGCTCGTGTGTGATTTGGCATTTCTTGCACAAAACTGAGGATTCAAAGTCCTTAACTTACAGCTGACTGTTTTGAGTTTGTAGCTGATGGTTTCTTACCTAGGGGTTATAGTTCTACCACCGTATTTTGTACAAAGTGGTCTGCGAGCTGTGAAAATTTCAGTACAGATGGGTGACATCAGGGTTTTTCCTCTTGTGTTAAGTAATAGAAGAATTTTGCTTTTGCTAAAAGTAATTAAACGATTACTTCCTAGGCTAAAGCTATTATTAGTACAATGATCCAAATTTTAAGAAAAGACTTTACTACTGGGAAAAGGAGGGAATTGATCTGAGGAAACACCAACCCAACAGCCCCCCCTCTTGGGATGCTCACCAGATGATCCATATCAAAGGGTGGTAACTCCTTTGCAAAGGATTGAGAAAGAACAGGATGGGCCATCTCTGGTATCCCTTGTCCTTGAGATAAGGGAGGAACTGAAACCACTGATCCATAAAAGACAAAGGAGCTGCAAATTGGCCCAGACTTGAAGGACAAGGTGTACACCACCACAGGACTGAAGAAAGAAGATAAGACTGTAGAAGAAGCCAGGAGGAGTGCCGAAGGTGTTGAAACCGGCAGCTGGGTGGATAAAAGGGGGTTTGAAACTTATTTGGTGAGCCTGGAGGGAGCTGCGACTCCTCAGCCACCCCAGCGCTGCATTTGCTCTCTTACCTTAGTAAAGATTCATTAATCCATATTTGGATGTGATTGGCCTTAATCTACCTATAACACTCTCAAATACCAGCGCTGAGCCCTGTCCCTGAGGGAAAAAGCAGGGGGAAGGCTGGCAGCTCCTTCGTTTCTTGCCACATCACGGGCAGGAGCAGGAGCTGGTGGTCGGTAATGGTTCCTCAGGCGATGCAGGGTACGTATGGCTGGGTAGCAGCCTCACTCCTGAATGTTGTGCGTGTACATTAATTAATAAATAAATTAATAAACAATTGTTTTATTAACTCACCCTGTATGTTCGCACTCCGTAAAAAGTGCCTCAGTGGGTTGCCCCAGGGAGGGAGGAACAGCCTCTCGCGGGCAACATGCTGGGGGAGATGCTGTCAGCCATTCTGCCCCGCAGGGTGTGTGGGGAGAGGGAGTGCTGCCTCGGACTTCCCTTGTTCTCTCACATCCCACCACAGTTCTCCGAGCGGCTTTTTACCCCCTCAGGTTTTCCCTAGACCCATCGCAATGAGGTTCTCCCTCTCACACCCCCTCGGAGACCCCCTGCTTCCCTCACAACCCTTCCCCATGTCCCCCAAAACAGCCTTTTTCCTCTCTACACCACCGAGGATCTCTGTCTCCCTCCATACTCTCCCCAAACATCCCTGTGCTCCTGTGACATCCTTTGAGGCCCCTCGCAACCCGCTCTCGGGCTCCCCTCGTGCCCCGGAGCGATCCTGTGTTCCCTCTGCCTGGCCTGGGACCCCTGTTTTGGCGTTTGAGCCCCCCTAACCCTGAGACATCTGTGCTGCGCACACAGGAGCTGTCTGGAGGTACGATGCTGAGTTTGGCATTGAGGAACAGGAGACTGCCAGTTTGGAAGGCAGAAAGACATCCTCTGGGCACAGCCCTCCGATCCCAGTGTGAGGTGACACTCAGAAAGATCTGGAGAGCTCAGCTTTAATGGAAGAGTGCACGTGTGAGGTGATCCATCAGGTAAGAGCTCTAATCCTGTCAAAGGTCCCTCAGTGGGAACGTGCTATGTAATCCTGATAACCGTTATGTGTACTGGTAGGATCCCCTGAGTTAGTTCAGGGTCTTCTGTGCCGGTGGGGCCTCACTGGAGCTGCAGTGTACATTTAAGCATCACCTTAAACCTTACACCTAGGCATCACTTTAAACCTTGCATTTTAGGCATCGCCTTAAACCTTACACCTAAGCGTCGCCTTAAACCTTGCATTTAGGCGTCGCCTTAAACCTTACGTCTAAGTGTCACCTTAAACCTTGTATTTTAGAGATCACCTTAAACCTTGCATTTTAGGCATTACCTTAAACCTTACGCCTAGGCATCACCCTACGCTTTAAACCCCCCCCCTCGCTGGGCCCGCCCGCAATCCGTGCTGACCGGCGCTGAGGAGCGCTGCCCGCTCCCGACCCGTCCCCGCTGTCCCCTCAGGCTCCGGCCGCGGCCGCAGATCTCGAGCGCCGCCCGCCCTGCGCGGGAAGCGCGGCGCCGCAGTGCGCATGCGCGGCGTCGTTGCCATTTCCCCCCCCCCCCCCCCCCCCCCCCCTCCCCCCGCCCCGGCGTGCCCCGCGCGCAGCCAGCGGGGCGGGCTCTCCTCACACAAAGGCGCAGCGCTGGGAAAATGGCGGCGACGGCGACGGTAGCGGCGGCCGCGGAAAGCGGCGGCGGTAAAATGGAGGAACCGGCAGCGACCGCGGCGACGGCGGCGGCTCCGCCACCACCTAACGGGGCAAGCAGCGCGGGGGATGCGCCCCCCAAGAGGTAAGGTGGCTGCTGTGGGGCCGCGCTACCTCCCGGGCCTGCCGCGCCGCATGCGGCCTCCCCGCGCCGCGGGCCTGGTCTGAGCTGGGCCGGGGAGGGGGGGCCGGGGCCGGGCCGGGGGGCTGCCGCCGGAGCTAAGGCTGTTGTTCGCCTCCGGGTATTGCCCGGGAAGCCGGGCGGGGCCTACCCGTTGCGGCGCCGAGCTTGGCGGGCGCAGATCCGCCCTGGGATGGCGCGACCGGGAGCTCCCGCCGCCTGAGGGAGCGGGGAAGGAGCCGGTCCCTCGCTCTGACGCTTCGTGCACTGCGCAAGTCCCGGTGTACGGCAGCCGGGGAGACCCTGGAGATCATTACTTATCCCGTTTAGGAGGTGTCTCATTTGGGCCTTAGGCAATTTAAAGCCTCTCCATGAGGCACAGGCTGTTCCAGCGAGGTGGGTTTTGATGTTTTAAGTTAATTACTTTTTGTTCTGGCAATGGCAGGTTGTAATAGCTAAGCTCTTCTCTGGCAGTCATCTGTCATACTGCTGCAACATTTGGAGCAAAGCGTGCTCTGTTTTGTGGCCGATAATTTACCTGTAGAGTGGGTTAGGAACATGAGAGACAAATGGCTCGAGAGCGAGAGCTTGGAGGTGATGCCTGGTCTTAAGTAAGGGCTGTGTGTCTGATGTCAACAGAATGTTACAGAAATATTAAAAAAAAAAATCCCATCTGCAGGGGTTACAATTCTAGATCTCTAAATGTGGGAATGATGAACAGAAAAAGCTTGAACCCTGCTTGTCAGTTCTGTATGTTAATGCTAACCTCATTTTGGAAAACTTCATAGTTATCAAAGCCTTTTTTTTTTTTTTAATGCTAAATCTGCAGAATAAAGAGCACGTTTTTTTCAGGTAATTTTTGGCCCCAGGCCTTACATGCTGCAGAGATAAGAATCTGCATTTTGAACCTGATGGTTCTGTGAGTAATGATTCAGACTTGAGGTCAGATTTCTTTTATCTGCTGATCCCGAGGTGTGTTGCATAGCTGTGTGTCAGTCAGGCTGCTGGTTGCTGCAGGCTGTTGTGCTCAGGCATGTTACATATCTGTAGTCTGACCGAGAGCTGACAGATCTGCGTGACAGGCCAGCTTGATGGTCTGTAGTTAATTGGAGATGACATGAGTATGGAGAGGAGGTGGCGGTGTGTCTCAATTTGAAAAACCGCTCTCATCTGCCTCTGCTGCCTGGGCTTGTGGATTGTGTTTCACATGACCAGGAAGGTAGTTGACTTTCCAAGTGTCACTTTCTGGGAAAAATCTGTATGTATTCTTTTCCAGCAGAAAATTGTTAAACTGTGCTTATGGCAACTAAAAAAAAACACTCACATACACAACTCCTCCTTCCTGCCAGGCTGAAACAGGCATGCCTGTTCAGGAGTGGATGCAGTCCTGAGCCCGCAGGGTGGGGATCTCAGTGTCACCATCCACATGATGCGGTGACATGTAATATGTTAGTCTGGGCTAGGGAAGGATCTTCCCATCATCTTCTCCCCTCCTCTTGTTGGGTGACTGGTACTTGGAGGACATTCATGTCTTGGATTCTGTTACACCTCAAAGCTTGCTCTTGGTGACTAGCAGAGCCGGCAGCTCTAGGTAATATGTAATTGGTAATTTGTTTTATATGAGAAGATGATTTATTCCTGTATGTGTAAATAGGTCTACTTTGTTCTGATTTTATTTTTTTTTCCCTCTGGCCCCCTTTATAGTTGGAGTTTCTCCAGACACCTTATCTTTTTATCGAGGTGCAGTATCAAGTTCTGTGTAGCAAAGCTAACACATCTACAGTGATAATGCCAACATTCATGTGGGTGTATTTTTTATGTCCTTGGAGGGAAAAGGGGGATCTGCCTATATTGGATTTTGGTTCTTGCTGTATTTAGTGATTTCTGGTACACTTACTGGGTCTAGGTGGCATGTTTAAGAAATCTTGCAGAGGAATGTGCATAATGGTCTGTTTCTCTGATGGAAGTAAGAGC